TCATACAATTTACAGTGAAAATAGATTTTTAAACATTTACATTATGGTTAACAAAAATTTCAATCAAATCTTTCTTTACCTCTCTCATAATTAATTTACTTAATTTATTTATCAGTTTTATTTTTAATTATTTTATTTTAATTTTAGAAATTTTCAAAAAAATGCTATAGAAATAATTCAACAAATTATTTGAAATTATATTCAGTATTAAGTAAAAAATTAAAATTTTTTAAATTTTCTTTTGTTTTTTTCCTCTTCTAATTAAATATAAATAAACAAAATAAAAAACGGAAGTTTTAGTAAGATATTTGGATTGAGTAGAGATAAACCAAAATAATACGTTTGTAAAGGGCAAACAACAGCTGTTTGCAAAAAGTTAACTTTGATTGATGAAATTTCTTAATATTTCGAGAATTTCCGAGAACTATACGGAAAAAGGAACAGGAATAGCCGGGCAATATTCGGAAGATAAAGGGAGAAAAGATTTCTTAGTAGTTTGAGAATTACCGTGAACTATATGGAAGAAGGAATAGGAATAGCCGGGCAATATATTCGGATGATAAAGAGAGAAAAGATTTCTTAACACTTTGAGAATTTCCGAGAACTATATGGAAGAAGGAATAGGAATAATCGGGAAAAAGGAACAGGAATAACCGGGCAATATATTCGGATGATAAAGAGAGAAATTGAAATGAAGGAATTTTTAAATGTGTAGGAAATAGATGAACGAATAGGTAGGTATAACATTCGTTACGAAGAAATCAATCGAATGTAATAATAATTTATAATCATATCAAATGTAATATCGATTAACTATCACTTCCTTTATTTCTACTACTTCTTACAATTGTCTTTCTTCATTAACTCAACCAGTTGTTCGAGTTCCTTCTTTTTGAAAATTATGCCTACCAGCCATTTCTACAAATTCATTTGTTGTTTTTACATTTCTTTGAAAGTTAACTAATTGGAATTGATTCTCATTAAAACTTATTACTTCGAATTCTATTACTCAAAATATGTAAAATGATTTCTGTAAACAATTTCTCTATTATTTTATGTACATCGTTCCCATTTCCAGTATGAAATATAAACATAATTAATATTCTATGGTTAGTTTCAACTGAAAAGTAAGTCATTGAAGTTGTTGTATGAAATGTTTAATAATCGTATTGCATTTGAATCATGTTAAGAATATCAAATATATCTGGTATATATATCCGATAATCATTTCTTTCGTCAAATTCCGAATTCTCTAATTGATTTTCCGGTCGCAATATTCTGTCATTATCTTTGCTTTTTATTGATTCTTTCTACTACACGTATCATTTCTATTCCTCTGTTGCCAGTAGACCTTTTGACGTCATCGATAATGATATCATATACCGTTTCACCTGCAAACAATATACGTTTAATGCATTTATGAAAGAAATAAAAATCATTTCTTTCTTGGAGTGGAAGAAACTTTCCAAACTATTGAAATAAACATTTGGCATGAAAATATAATTGACAGAAATGTACGAAAATAGTTGATGGAAATTGATGTTGATATTGCATCATCTCAAGTTAAACAGCTGGTCAATTAAATCAGGTGATCAAATAATTTTTCCACGATCAACCCTACGATCAGTTCAAGATAATAATACTTTGCAATAATAAGCGATAACTTTGTTATCGCTTATTATTAAGTGCAAGTAATTTACTATTCTGGTTTCTATTATTAGTTCATACGAGAAGTAAATTATATTTCAGTATGATTAAATTTCTTGAAATGTGAAATAGACGAATTGTTATGGTTAAAATATTCTGAATTTTTTAGACAAGTTTCATAAATTTCAATCTGTAGATATGAACATGGTAACTCGATCACAAATATCGTCATCGATCAAATTCAGCAAATTCAGTTGCTTTTTACCGATCGCTGATTATCAAAGATTTCCATTCCTTCTATTTTCTGCTAGTGGCTTTGTTTCAGAAGTTTATTGTTTCAAAATTTAATTTTTGTGAAATGCAATCATTTGATCTTTTAGAATATATTTCACTGATTATTAGCATTCTAAATGAGTCAAACGATCAACTACAAAAGATGAATAGAAGTTCTTCTGTTGGCTGAAACTACGATGTAAGAAGCTTTACTGCTAAAGAAGCATTTCAATGTTTTCTTCAGTGAAAGCAAATTGAATTCTGTGAAGAGAATCAATTAAATTTAGATAACTTTTTTATAACAGAGATTCTGCTCGTTGTTATTTCCAAAATGGAAAGATAATATCATATTTCTCCGGTGATTTTTTTTACCCATATTGCAGTAGTGCTTCAGTTTTTGATCAAAGCCGGAAAACTAGTGAGTGGGAATAAATAGGTATCTAACCCCTCGTTGTATGAATATTCCAAACAATGATTTGTGTATATCAATCCTCAAATCTATAGCTATTTTTGAAATGGACATTTTGCAAAATTATTCAGAATGTAGAAGCAGACATTCAACAACAATCAAATATAGTACATCTTTTTAAACTGCATGCTTCAAAAAACATTTTGTAATTTCAAAGATTTTTCAGACTTAGGCCTAAAGGCTGAAAACTTTGTTCTGCGAACTATAAACTTTGGCACTCGATGATCTTGCCAGCAATGATGTTGGTTTGAAGACAAATTAAAAACACATTATTCCATGATCATATTTATTGATAGACTTTCGAAAGATTTCTCCTGCATCTGATAAATATATTTTGAATAAGAAGTGATTTGAAGTTAATAAATTTCGATCAAATTTTTTCGCTGATTTTATTAATGAAAAAAACTGAACGTGATTAGAGCGATCAAATGAATAGAAGTACCATTTTTTCATTCCAACCAAGTACCATACCATTTTTTCATCCCAATTGAAAGCTACAAAGAAAGAATTTGCATTTCATTAAATATGACCAATTTAGCTAATGATGAAATGGAATTCTCTTTAAACTTTCAACTTGGAAATCTAAATTCTTTTCAATTAATCGTCATTTTCCTTTCGAAGAGTAAAATTTCTTCTCTTTACATATTCGGAAGAAATTGAATCTTTGCATTATTGATATAGGCGATCGCGAAATATATCGACGACATAAAATTGGTTACGTAAAATTACGCGTCTGAAATAACGACATCAATAGCATATCAAAGAAATTAAATTCAGCGTTAAATTCAAGTCTTTCTCATTTTTGGAATGGATGATAGCTGCACTGTGGGAAAACGAAAGTTAATAGTTGCAGTAAGTAATTTATATCTTCAAAAACTGAACATTTTAATTTGCTATGTGAAGAAGTTAAAGAACTTAAAAGGACAAATGCATTTCTTCATTAAAATAGGGAATAAATTTGTTTATTGACAAATCAAACTGAATTCATTGAGATGCAATTGTTAATGAAGAAGCTTTGTGGTACTAATAAGCAATTGCATGATGTAGCAATGATATAATGTAAAAATGAAGAAGATGACATAAATTGAAGAAAGGCGTAAATTGAAAGACGTAAGTTAATAATGACGTGAATTGAAGACGTTAAACGGAAGACGTAAATTAATAATGACGTAAATTGAAGAAAGCGAAATAAAAAAGGTAAATTGAAGTGACTATATGTGCCATTGAAATTAAAAAATGAATTTAAGAGTTTAAAATGAGTATAATTACATAGAATTTATTAATTACAATCAAGTAAATATTATTTATTAAATGATTTTTCCTAATGACCAAAGACATATTTATTGGTCTGCCAATTTTAAAAGTCAAATATTGGCAGAAGTTTTAAATGAAACCTGCAAATCCTAGTTCAGTAAATGGCTCACTGGCGAATTTTTTGTATGATATCACTGAATTAATGGCAAGAATACGTCCAGAAGCCACTTGGCATTGCTGCGGTCCACATTCACTGATTAACTCTTTACGGTTATAATCAAGTGAATATTATTTATTAAATAATCTTATGGCCAGATAGCTTTATTGAGGAAAAATTGTACACTTGATGGAAATGTAACTATGATTTTTTCAGGATCAGTTGATGAATGGCCATAAGCAACCTGAGATTTTTTTGTCTATTTCATTCAAAAATCAACTAGAGAGATGAACAATGTATCGCTGGTGGCTCATGAAACTAATTAGCAATTAAAGAATTCACTAATTTGAAGTGTCGCTTTCCTTTATTTTACCCAGTTATAGCGGACTTTTCTTGATAAATATATGTCTATGATGAAAAGTGATCTAAAACGACAAACGTCGAAGACCAAAACAGCGATTCAATAAAAAGAAAGTTTAAAAGCATTTCTCAAACTATGATCACACAATTACAAAAAATGTCATTCTCAACATTTGTAGTCCGCTACTATTACAATTATCTGAACTTACAAAACTATTGTATTTGGTTGATATTCTTCCCAACAATTAAAGAATCAAATTTACATAGAATTATCTGCTTGCATACGTTCACGCTTGCTTCGCGACACGTCGGAATCACGCGCCCATTAATTCCGAATAAGTGAGTTCTACAAATGCATCATATTAGTTTCTTTTGTGAACTATTATGCTTTCGGTTGGTATGAAATTTGTATTCCCTTTTTTCGCTTTTTATCCTTTGTTAGTAATTCAGCTGTACTTGGTGTTTTCAGATCTTAATCAATAAGATAGATTCATGAAATATCTACCGACATGTTTTGGACACTTATTAACCTTATCGTAATTCCTACTATAAACTTATATCGGCACCTCACTTCAGCATTTATCTTACTCTCTTCTATCTCAATTTGTGTCTCATTTAGTATTTCGAATTTTAACCTGTTGCAATAGCCACTTCACAAATCCCTTAAAGTTCATATATGTCTATGTATGCATCATCCATACATTTATTGCAGTATCATAAATTTTTGGTGCAGAACATTTCGAAAATTTGATCTATTAATTTTTAGAAATCTTAGACTTTTTTCAGGTATGTTCTCTCGCCCTTTCAAAGTGATACTATGCTAACGTATTTGTCAGGTTAATGGATATTGATTACGATTCCGAAGAATTATTTGTTGAAGATGATGAAGAAGAACGCGAGGAGAGTAATAAAAATGGTCAGTTGTCATCATAAATTTGCTTTCTCGTTGTCTACTAATTTTATGTCAACATATTATTTTAAGAACAAGTGAATGTTTCAATATGATTCAGGTTTGTAGTTTCTTTTTTCAGCAGCACCCTCTGATGAACAAATTTTGAACGATTTGTTAAAGAAAGATGAACGGAAGGTCCGTAAACAGCGCCTCATAAAGAATCCAAAATTGCGAGATATTGAACTTTGTGGGTCAAATGGCTTCTTGGAATTGAAGCGAAGTTTCGACAGTTATACGCCGAAAAATGAAAATCCAGTTAGTGGTTGTTCTTTCCATCTTGTAGTTATTTTCCACATAATCTTCCCATATGAATCATTCACCGAACATCCTTGAAAAGCTTAGACACTATTCAAGAATTAAGAAGCTAACTTGAAATCAATTTGCCACTCGCAATAAATAAATTACTTGCCTTACTAACTACATTAGAAATGCTTTTTGAATTCAGTAATGTATTGTTAAATTACTGAATAGTATGAAATTTAGTTTTTCACGTAAGTATTTTACGTTAACTGATGCTATGCATTAGGCAAAAATTAGGTGTAAGTTTTTGCGGTTTCATCTCGCTGTTCGAAAACGATGAACTTTTAATTTAATTGTGTGTCAGTTATGTCAAGCAGAAGCAAAGTATGCCTTTTGTTTTAGTGAATGTTTTGAAAGACTTCTATTTTTCTTTCTTTCCAGTATGATGACTTACTTGTAATGATGAGCCGAATAGAACATTGGGGACACCTGCTCTGTCCTAAAATGACATTTGGAGATTTCGTGGCTCGTGTAGAATCTCTAGGCGACAAGAGAATGGTAAAAGTGAGTTATTAGTTTCTTGAGAGAAAATCCACTGTGGTTTTTTGGGTTACTCTTCCATTCTAATTGTTTGGTTTGAAGTATTTTTCTTTATTTTTCAACTATTCGGGAAAAAGTCATGGTGTACTGTGATCTATAAAAAATATTACTTTAAAGGAGTAAATGGTTTTTCATCTGTTATCAGTTATTCATTTTAGACAATGTTGACAAAAATGCGACTTGACATGCCTTTGACTGATGATGACTTCCTCGCAAACAAAGAAAATGAACAGGAAGTACAATTAGCTGGTAAAAGAGAAAATGAGCAGTTCACTGATACGCTATTGAATGACACAAATTTATTCGAATTTTTCGATGATTTACCATCTGAATCCGTTACATCGCATCAAGCAACTTCGTCTTCTGAATACTCTGTATGTGAGAAATTTCTTTCACAGGTTTTTAAATTTAGAATTTAATTTACAATATGAAACTGAGGAATTACTATGATGTTGTACATGAATTCTATTGATATATTTGTTTCAAGGCGTCGAAATTGTCGTTGGAGCAGTTACAGCGAATTGAAGAAAATAAGCGTCGTGCGCAAGAACTTCGTATGCAACGCGAGAAACGGATGAGCCAATTGAATGATTTCGATTCACTTGCGAAGAGTGATGGTGCACCAGTTTGTACGGAGGCAGCAGGCAAAATGCCGTTCAGCCCAAAATCGTTTAATCAGGATGAGGATTCAAAAAAGCCCGAAGAACACCTCGATATTATGATGGATGATAACGAGGCATTAGATTTCATATTCTCGATGACTTGATACTTTCCTGATTCTTCTAATCCTCATTTGCATATAACATAACAGAACTTTCTCCCATTTCTCAAGAGTTTTCAAGCTGAAACAGCGAAGTAGTGTAATGTTCAAGACATGATTAAAACTACGGCACGCAATGATCGAAAGTTCACCATATTTAAAATTGAGCTACTTGCCTTCTCACTAGTATGTTATACACCGAAGATCGGCGGCTATCATTTCTTTGTTTTGGATAAACTTGAATTTTCAGAATTAATTTTCAAGAACCAAAGGATTTTTTAATTTCTTTGATCACTTTTGCATCTTTTTTGGAGTAATTTTCTTTCTTCAAAATATTTGATATTACATTTCAAACACTCAACTGAAAGAGAGTCATTTTTTTGCTTCGCAATCTTTCTTTTCATAAACGAATTAATCGCAAAAATAAGTATTGTTTTAATTTCGACGAATTTGAATTTCAATTCGTAAAAGCTATGAAAAATTTTAGAAATGAATGTTACGTATTTCAGAATAAGTGGTAGTGTTTCTGCATTAAAACATTCAAAATATGCTCGATTTTAATGCCACTATTGAGAAATTTCCAAATAAGAATCATGGAACGGTTTTAAATTTATTAGAAAAGAAGAGAGAAAATCTGAACATTTGGGTGGAGCCGACGACATGTGTCATAAATGCTCATTTCGGCGTTATCAACTGTGCAAAAAGGTGCGTCATCGCAGCGAGCAGGGTTCGAACCTGCGCGGGCAAAGCCCATTGGATTTCAAGTCCAACTCCTTAACCACTCGGACATCGCTGCACGTGAACAGTACCTTCCAAGCCTAAGGCAACATTCGTTTAAAACGATCCGATTCTGTAAATTGTTGTTACGGGTCATGTTTTTCATTCGGGTTAATTTACAGTTTTTAAAAAACGGAAGATGCTATATCACCGCTTATTTCAAATGATGAAAAGGGACAACATACGCAGCGAGCAGGGTTCGAACCTGCGCGGGCAAAGCCCATTGGATTTCAAGTCCAACTCCTTAACCACTCGGACATCGCTGCACCATAGCCCGGCATTCTAATCAGCAGAATTTAATCCAAACAATGACACCCAAAATTATTTTAGGTAGTTTCAAGTTGAATTCTGCGAAGCAAACTGAAATAGAAAGAATGAGTTAGTTAAATTCATGAAGTAATTCGAGGTTAAATTTATGAAGTCATTCTAAATTAAACCTATAAAGCTATTCAAGGTCAAATCTGTAAAGATATTCCAGGTTAGATCTATGGAGCTATTTTAGGTTAAATTGATGAGATCATTCCAACTGGATTTTTAACTATTTTAGGTTAAATTGATGAGATCATTCCAACTGGATTAACCAATCATGATAAATGTTCTGTTGGAATAATCATTAACTTAAAAAGATGCAAAAGATAATGATATAACTGCAAATATCTTGGTATCAGTAATATATTACTTTTATTCGTGTTTGACTAACATTTTTATGCCAGTATTACAAATATTCCCTAAATCTGTTTTTTCATGAAATTTTATAATTTTCCGGAATTCTTTTATATCCCATTATTCAACTAATTCAAACGATAATGATATTATTATAAAGACTTATCCTTTATCCTAATTTGGGCATGCGATATGCTCTTGAGATGTTCCTGAGATGAGATGTTCTGAGATGAGATGTTTCTGAGATGAGATGTTTGATATGTTCCGATATCTTTTTTTTGCCGTGCTTATTTATAATTTTATATAATTTTAACTTCTCAAATGTTTCAATGTTTCGAATATAAAATTTTCATTCATCTTCCCATTATTTCAATACATTTCATTTTTCAAGCAGCCAAAGCTTTCATTGTTATTAAAAATAAACTAATTTCCTATGCCAGAAATGTTACTTAAAAGATTCGATTATCAGTTTTCGATTATCTTTTACTGATCAATGTATCTTTGAATTCTGATCATTTCCAATATTTCGTTGAAATCCTTAGAATTTTTGAGAATTAAGTGATAGAGAGCAACCTTATGCTTTATTATATGAAAATTCCGGCAAACTGTTATACAATCTTGTCGATCGATATTTTTTAATTTGAATTCCTATTGAAAAAGTAAGACTTTGAAATATCGAAATATGAATATGTCACGTAATTTTAAGCCTAACGACAAAAAATTCTTGTGGTTGCTAAATCAAAAATTTTGATTACCATTTGGTATCATTTCAACAAATTTCATTTGCAAGTTAAAAATATAATATGACAGTTCCTTTGAAAAATGCCGTGCTATTCAAATCAATTACTCGAAATCCAATTTTCTTCGTTATACATTTGTTGAATTATATCAAAATAATGAAAAAGGTAAATATCGGTATGAATAAAACCTTCTTTCACATTAATTATTATTTCTTTCCTCTGTATATGAATATGAAATAATTAAAAGATAAATTAAAAATGATGTAATCATTGCCCTATAATTTCGTGTTATATACAAAATGAAGAAGTAAGAGGATTTTGGTAAGTTTCTTAAATTTTAAATCTTTCAATTATTTTTTGAAATCTGCATTCTTTCTTTATTTAATTAACTAATTATGCTTGTGACATTAAATACCATATGAATATAAAATACCATATCAAATACCATATGAATACCATATGATTAAATGCACGGATCATACCGTTAGTTGCACAAATCATTTCTATAAATTTAATAATTTACGGTTCAAAAACAAATATATATTTCTATCCGAATTAGATTTCATCTAAATATAATTAATATATAATTAAAATCGATAGTTCTTATCATGAATGAAAAATTCTGCACACTTATGCATCCATGTAATACTTTTCATCCATACACATATATAGAAGCATACACATACACACACACACACACATACACACACACATGATTTTTACTGAAATCAAACTAATTTGAATGGATAATTGAAATCAAGCTAATTTGAATATCTTCGTAAATGGTGATCAGAATCATTTGCTTAATATTATTCTTTTCTTCGGTAGTAGCCATCCCTTGAGGAATATCCTATTCTAACAGGGGGGAAACTTCATTTATTTTAAAAAATTTTGCCACTCCACTTATTTTATATTTTATTTATCTTAATCACATATTTGTGCTCTGTGGTTCCACGCTTCGGTATTCACTAATTCTTACTGTTTATTCAATAATTAGAATATAGGAATGTTAATCCTATTCAATAAACACCTTATTTTCAAAAACGGATGTTAAGAATCTTGACGGCTTATTTAACTCTTTAAATCTAAAAACATCACAAATATGTTCTCCACAATTTTGATAATGTCAGTAATAGCGTATTAATATAATTATCAGATCGCAAATTTGACGACATATATTAAATTTGCGGTTCCCGATGCCATTTGTTGAATGATATCACAAAGATATTATATCCACATATACAAACCGGGATAAAAGTGCATACAACCTTCTGTTCCTATGTCCGACAACATTTCTGAAATTGGAAATCAAGAGCAACCAAAACTTTGGCTCTTTTTCAAATAATTGCAGATTTGTCAACTGATATATTGCGATTTCATGTTCCGCTAAAACCGGTTTCTCACTTCTCATTTTCGAAAATCTATGAACTTTATCTTCCACAATATCATCAACTGAAAGGTGAATGGAAGCGATAAAAAATGTATTACAACAACCAGTAATCGCAGCTTTTTAGACGTTTACAACAATTGAAAAGTATACCAAAACTAATATTGTCACAAACTGCTATTGTAGATCTAACACAGTACGAAAATTTACCAAACACCTGTGAATATTGTACCGGAATAAAAAATATAGTTAAGTAAAGCAAAAACCAACTAATATAAATTTCAATCGCTAGAGAACACTACTTTAAGCATAAATAAAAACAAGACAATTAGCAGAGTAATCGTTTAAGAAAGCGGATGTCTATTTAACTTGTTGAATTATTATTCAAGTGGATTACAAGATATAATGCAATAAAAAGTGATTACCTATATTAAATTATAAGAAATTACAAATGCTGAAAGTAGTGATTATATATTAAAATTCGACAACAAAGACGCCAGTATATCTTCTGCACGTCCGTCCATAACTTCGTCCGATTACCTAGTTTTTTTTTTTCTTCTAAATACCTTTCTTTTTCTTTTTTCATATTTCAAATATTTCAAATTATATCTTGATTTTCAACATATCAAGCAAGCATTTGATGCTAGTCATAAAACAATTGAAACTGACAAAATTTGTTATCTAATCTATCACAACAGAGTTAACTTTAATAATCTCCATACAAAGCGAGGAGCAGGACCCGTTCAGAACTATGTGTCACAAAATATTGGAACATTGCATTTCAAATTTAACGGGTTTCTCTATTACGGGATGCTCCCGGAATGAGATTTCTACCCTTACTTTCTTCTTTTCATCGCTATCACAAGCTACTGCCCTTGATTCATATCGAAAATCAGGCGCAGAATCCGCAGACATCAATAAACATCTATTAGACCTTAAACAAAATGAAATTATTCAGAATGAAAATGAAAGAATTCAAAACATTATTTTAATTAATAGTTGCGTGATGGCGAGTGATTGTATGTAATGCTAAGATTATTTCGGGATCTTGAATCGTTATAAAGCGAAATATCTTTGTTTCTGAATCTCAATGATGAGAAGACAATTGAAAAAAAAGCATGAAAAATAGAATTTTTAAGTCTAAAATCCAACCAGATGGAAATCATTACCTATTAAGCCTTATGTGACTTTTAACAAGATCGTTTGAGCACTCCGCTGCCATAAGGGATAATTCACCTGCCAGTACTGTCGAACAAATTATTTCCGCTAAACGTGCAGCACATTCACCTGGGACTGAAGTTGGTATCCCACAACCCATTATCTTAATAACATGCACTTACTGTTTTGAACACACAGATGCAAATTTTACGCTTCTGAGATTTTCAAGCCCCTCACTATTCCAGAATCCCGAGGAAAATACTATGAAAGTCACTAAAATGGATTTGAAGCTCAAAAAAAGTTCATGGAAATTTTCAAGAAACCTGTAAGCATGCGTTCTGAGCTGGTAATATGGTACCGCCTCCAACAGTCCCAACTTCAAGGCAATGCATGTTGCACGAAATACACAAATCACCAAAATCAGTTTTTTCCATTGTAGTTAAACACATACTACTGGACACAACCTGAGCTACATCCTGTAACGCCAAAATGTATCGATGAACAAGATATCATAGTAAAAAGTCATTTGAAAAAGTAATAGGATGAAAAGCTCAGACTGCAAATTTATAAGCCAAACTTGTCCAGTCGCAATAAATATGGCTGCAACAATATTAGCTGCATGCGCATTCCAACCGCCAATGGTACCAGCCATGGAAGAACCAATCAACAGTTTTGCTCGTCCTAATTGTACTAATGCATCAACAGTAGTTTTAAGAACGGTTTGCACCACTGCAGCTGAAATCGTTGCCTCAGCAACTATCGATTTTCCACGCCCTTTAATCCTGAAAAATCCGTGAACCATTTAGCTGTACTTCAGCAACAAGGAAAATGTAATAACCATGAAACCATTATTGAAATAACCATTATTGAGAATTAAGGGTCTAATATAGGCATGACAAGTAAAAAGAATAACCAATTAATGGCACTAGCTTTCTTGTCCATACAGTAATTACCAGATACTGACAACACCTCCATTTCGCGATATTTCTCTTTTAGATATAATAATACTGCATTTGCACCTCTGTAACATTAAATATGTCGCATTGTTTTTTAAATAAAAATTATCAGTCACAAAATAGGATGCCTGACGAGATTTATTAGAAGCAGAGAATAGCTGAGTCAGTGAAACGGATTATCTCCGACAAAATAGTGATTGGCTCGACATCACGGATCGAATAGTGCCTCAAAAATAATGGAAGAAATTCCCATTAATGAAAATTTGGGAGATGAATTGTTTGCAGTTTATAGGGAGTCCATAAACAATAAGAGTTTTGATTATAGCTATCATTCACTAACACTAAAAAAGGCACATAAAAGTACAGAAAAATTACTTTGAAACCATGTTCATTCCCATTGCATCACCTGTTTCAGCTTCAAATCTTATAAATAGTAAACGTCCAGCCACATCTGTCTCAAGCCGTTGTAACCTCGCAAAACTACAAAATAATAAGAGATTGTGCCGAAATAAACTGCCATCTTAATTTTTTAGTAAGTCATCTCTAACAAGTAATAAGTAGATTTTATAGGTAATAGATTCCGATATTGAGCATCAAACATTCATCGCACTTAATCTATCACTCGAACAATTCTGAGATATAACAGTTTAGATATACCTGCTTGTCGAATCAAAAACAGTTTTGATTTCTTCGAAGCTACTTGGTGAATCTAACAAATCCTTCATCTCACTAAAAATATGTATTTAAGCAATAATAAAGAATTATGATGCAATTTAAATAATTTAAATATAAAGACCATGCCCTTCCAGTTCAGACCTTTCACTATGACCTTTAAAAGTCGACAAGTGCAGGATCGCAACGTAAGATAGAAACAAAGAAAGTGTAATCTACAATTACAAACGATGACATTTACGGATTTAGCATAATCGCTCCCTTTTCATACAATTCGATTAATCCTGCAACAATGAAAAAAGATACGGAAGAAATTGCACCCTTTTTTATTCTATATCAGAAGAATGTAATTTTTTCAATGCGCTACGCCGCTTAAAAGAATTAAACAGAAAATATGGTTGACGATTTCTTTCTTGGGTCACCTAATGATAGTAATCACCATGAAGATAAACAATTCATTATGACAGCGCATTCATCACCACTGCATTTTTGACAACTTGCTGTGGAAACAGAATTGGTTGTTAATTTTTGCATTCACTAAAATCACTAAGATCTCATGAACTTACAGCGCTCTAGTGACATTCGCAAACTGAACAACAGGAGCACGCGTCATTCCATTCCTATACACACGAGCCGTGACACCACCAGATTCCTATAATGAATCATTTGTTTCACTTGAAGTTAATTTAAAAAAATACAACCTGAGTATTCTGGCAAGCCTGTAGAACTTTTTTTTTTAAATCGATTAACTCACAAAAATTGCACGACAACCGCGGTTGGTACTAGCGATAAGAGCGCCTTCCGTTGTTGACATTGGTACGAAACATTTACGCTCGTTCACCAGTAGTGGTCCAACAATTCCCGTCGGTACTGGAACATAACCAACGACATTTTCGCAGCATGATCCATTCACCTGTAATATAACAGTTCAATTGACTATTTCAAATAAAAAATAGCAAAAATAATTATGAATTACAAGTTCTAATAACAACAAAAGAATACTTACGTAACTGTAGTCATACTGCTGGAACGGTAGATTTTGGAACGATATATTTGCGGTCTCATAGAAATGCGACCTCCGCAGTGAAACTGCACGGAGAAAGTCATTACCCAATTTTTGTTCAAGGTCTCGCTGTTTTAAATGCCCAAAATTCAACAGCTGCTTTATTTCGCTATAAAAAAAGGAAATATTTTTTTGTTCAATAATCTCATACTGGGTAATTGAAACATTAATGACTGGTGTCAATGGTCCTTTTTAAATTGAATATACATTGTTCCTTATAAAGCAGATGCACCAATATTGTATGTTTCTGCCAAATTTCCAAATAATAAGAGAAAACATTTAGTAACATACCTGTCATTTAATGATGCACAATTATCCATCCCTTTACCCAATTTCAAATTTCGAATTAATGTTGATATCGTTTCGCCTTTTGTTTCTCTCCCAGTATCAGATTTCGAATTTCTTGAAAATGTTGATTTGTTTCCTAAATCATTACTTCTTTGTGACATCATCTGTGACCTATCCACATCTAGAATGGAAAAAGTTATTACTTAAGGTAACATTTTATTTGACGGAACTAGCTTCATAAGGAATAATATTTAATCACCTTGGTCTCTCGCGTACAAAATGGTGTGAATGACTTTTATATATTCAATCCCGTTAAAATTAACATTTTTATCATATCACGAGAAGCAATTGATCGTATCTTATTCAGATAGCATTCACGTTATTTCATTGCTTTTGATATGATTGAATATACCTTCCGCAATAGGCGTTTGTTGTGATCCAAGTGAGAAAATTGTTTTGCATGGAAAACTTTTGTGCTTGCAATTTTCGCTTATCTTGGACATGATATCACTGAACAACTCGGTTCTCCATTTGTCGTTTTTATCAATGATCAAGTCATTTATCCTTTTCGAAAGCCATACTGCGAACTTTTCTTCCCATTTCGGACATTCTGCCATTCTATACCCTGAAAATATTTGAGTGAGATCTAGCCACTTCCGATTTTAATGCCATACTAAAAGAAGGAAACGAATTATAACTACAGAAAAGAAGACAAATAACAGATGACAAATAATTGAAAAAAATAGCACATACATTAAGTAATATGCTCGAAAACCCTAACATTATAAGTAAAAGGAATGGACTTTCTAAAAAAAATTGATTAGCATATTATTACAAAGCGACCTAGCGAGAAACGAATCATAAGATAAAATGATAAAGAACAATAACACTAAGAAGATGAAAACAAAACTGGTAAAAGACGCAGTTTGTTAAATGTGTGACTGTTCAACATGAAATCTCCAGGATATCACATCCAAAATACCGATTTTCACTATATTAATAGAAGATTGTTCAAGTCGACAAAAGTCATCACATCCCCAACATGTTCTATGGTATAACATAACGACGATGGCCGGAAACGGAAAAAGCTCTAGAGTTGTAATTCAGATTCAACAGAGACTACCGAGAAGCAGTGCAATCACAGGGATCTTGATGACACAGGGATCTTGATGACATCATCCTGACAATTTACCTGGCAAAAGCTCAAGTAGCAAACGCCAAAAAAAGCGGCCCAAAAATTATCATTAACAACATCAGACTGCAAAAAAATCAGAGAATCATGAAAGGCATGCTGACAGTATTCCGAAAATCGTTACAAGATTGTACTCATATCATTGCAACTTTATTAACGAAGCGATAATATCAACTTTTTTCTAGCGTTTGAAGTTTACAATAAGAGATTACTGAAATTTAATCAATCGATTTAAAATATGAAGATGATCAGTTATATTCGAAATTGAAATATTTGCTCAAATTTAAAATCAAAGATATGGCAATTTTAAAATCTGCTGAAAATAAGTTATACTGAAATGAAATTTTAAAATTAACATGCTCATAAATTATGTTAATTTAAAGCATTTAAATTCAATTTTAGTGCATATTTATCTGTTAAATGCAAATTTGCTCATGTTATTTGATAAGATTACCATATAAAAGATTAATTGAAAAGTTAATTTCATATTAGATTTAAATATCATAGGAATATGTTGTTGTTGTTGTTATTGTCATTCTTACAGTATTTCATTCTTACTGCAATTTGTGAATCATTTAATGATACCTTTTTTGGTACAATTATATTATACTTTTCATTAATATTGTAACAGTTTGAAAGTATTTAAAAATAATTGATATTAAAAAAATTTTTTTTAAATTTTTATTTGATAAGTTTTTTTAAAAATCAACATATGATATTATTTTTGATTCTAATAAACTTTTTCAATACAGTATAATATAAATGTAAATGAATAATGGGAAAGAGTATATTAACTTTACATTTGTTTTTAACAAATACTTAATGACAATTATTAACCTTAAATTATCCATCCAAAATTAATTCATAAATTTTCAAATTATTCCTAATTAGCCAAAGTTAATTATGCGTGAGAGATTATAATATTATAAAAAAAGATTGTGTTATCTGATAATCTTAAAAGAATTTAGGAGAGGAAAATTTTGATAATTTCATCTGTTTAATTATCTCTCCCTCTCTCTCTCTCTCTCTCCATGTATATATATGCTAGTTTTTCCGTCACTTTTAAATTTTTGATTGTTTCATATTTAGATTACTCCATTCCATTTCATAAAGTATAATTAGCCAAAATGTAGTGCTGGAAAATCTCAACAGAAATTAATTATTACTTTATGAAATTAAGCAATCTAAATATAAAACAATCAAAAATTAAAAGGTAACGGAAAAAATTGAAATGACTAAAATATCACCTTATTATAATTTTTTCATGAAGTTTTTCGGAATTCAACGAATGTGTTGAAGATTGAATGGATTTTTTGTGAAATAAAAAAATAATTTAAAAAATTAACTAATTAGTTATGATTACCTTTAATTGGATTTTTTAGTTTTATATATATACTCATATTTAATTGATCAATCTCACCTTCCCATTCGCACTTTTTAGCAACAGTTTTAGCATAAATCATTATGCTATCAATCTGAATAATTTCATTTATGTTATTTTATAGCTACAAAGAATATAACAACAAAAATTTATATTTATCTTATCATTTGCTATATCAAAGATATTTTATGCCTAATTTGCATAATCACATTCTTATCTATATTATATTTATAATTTTAAATTTTATGTTGAAAAGATATATCACAGATTTTATTTATTGTAATACTAAAAAATATTGAAATAAAGTTTTCATTGCAGAGCCTCAACCGATATTTGTGAAAAATGGTAACATCACAATGCCAATTATAAAAACTGACGTGATAATACGTTACGTACCAATGGGTCGCCATATTATACTTAATTGTATGTCTTGGATTTCAGCTGCAAATAATTATGATATTCAAAATAAAACAATGAAATGGATATTTCGTGATATTCAAGATCATCGTAGTATACCTATCGATATTGAGAACAGGTAAGTAATAATTTTTTTCAGAGAAGAAAAATTTACCTTAAAAATTTTTAAACTTAACCGTACTTTGAAACATTTACTATTTTATACTTATTAAAAGTAAATAGCTATGACTATCTATATCGTTGAAATTTTTTCCCAAAATTATATTCTTTTGTTTTATAATTGCTGTTTTTAAAGAATCTCTGATAATTCTTTGCATCTTCTCAGAATTGAATTATCAAAACCTTTTTTTCTTATATAATAAATGTATATTTTAATTTTAAATTTATTTTGCATTTTAAAGTCGATTCTCTTTTAATAAAACTGATGGCAATCTTATACTTTATACGGCGCAAAAAGAAAATGAAGGAATATATGACTGTCATGTAGGTGTAACTAAGACTATCGAATGGGTTTCACGAGTTAATCTTTGTAAGTGTTATGAAATTTCAATCAATGATAAAATAAGTATTTAACTTAGTTAATCAAGAAGCTGAAGTTGTAACATTAATTTTTAAATTTAAATTTCTATAATTCCTCTTTATATTGAAAAATTGCGATGAAGAATGGATTGGAAATATTATATATGATTGTTATGATTATCATCATTAGTTCATATAGCATCCTTGTAAGGCTAATATGTTTAGGAGATCGGATAAATTTGGTATACGAGTAATTTTAATACTTTCATATTTTATGAATGGGAAAAATACCACAAAATATATATTTAAAAAATAGAAGGCAAATAATTATATGTATATTTATCAATAAATGATTTTAATGAGAAAGGCTAAAATTGATTGAAAAATTTATGAATTAAAATATTTATCAGTTACTTCGGAATGATTGCTAACAATTGATAAAATATTAGAATAGCATTACTAATTTTCACACTTATATTTTAATTATAATTATTCACATTTTTTTTGATATGATGAAAGTGATATTAAAATATCAAAGAAATATTTTAAAGGACTTATAATTGAATTAATTTAAATTTTAACAATTTATCTGCTAACAATTTTATTATCACAATATGCGAAATTTCCCACACATATATTGATTATAGCAAAATATATGTGAAATTTTAATTAGTAATTATTTAAAAATATTTTATTAATTAATATTTCATTAAGATAAGACATGATAATTATTAACATTGTCTATTTGAAGATGTGCAAGATTGTGATGAAAAACGTGATTTAATTTCATATCTTAATGTTATGAATCCATGTCTTCATGGTGGTTGTATCATTGATACTTTTCCTAATGCTAAACTTTTGAAATATTTAAAATGCAATTGTGTATTACAATATACAGGAGAATTTTGCACTGGTAAGTGCTTCATTATAATATGAAATATCTCAAATTAATATTCAATTAATTATTTTATATGATAACAATGAATTATTATAAAAATTACGATTAAAGATAAGTAAGGAAAAATGAGTGGAAAAAGAAATATGATATATGTACTGGTAAGTACTTCATTATAATATCAAATATGTCAAATTAATATTTAATTAATTATTTCATATGATAACAACGAATTATTATAAAGATTATAATTAAAGATAAATAAAGAAAAATGAATAGAAAAGAAATATGATATATCTGTAATGTTTATTTTAATCGTACCTAATTGTAAAAAATTTTCTACACTTTACTGCATGCAACATATGAGAATGAAATTTAATTTATTTAATAAGTGGAAAAAAAGTAAAGTCTATAAATTTTTTATAAAATTAAGGATTGAAATATTATCATCAAATATATTATCTTTATTATTTATGATATATTTGTTTTTGAAAAATTTCTATTAAATTAAGTCAAAGTTTTAGTAAATTATTTTATTAGCAATACTTGGTTAGCTTTATTATAGAAATAATCAAATAGTAAATTTTATGATATAACAATTTCTGCAACTTTGTTGAAGTAAAATTTAAATTGTAATTTATTGTTAATTTAATTCTTTGTTAATTAATTAATTATTAATATTTATGATATAATTTGATAGAACTTGTCGATGGAGCAATCGGACGTGAAATTCTACGGTTTTCACCGTTTATTGCACATATTTGTTCAACATTAGGTGTTATTGTTGCTTTTTCTTGCTGCAAGAGAACGTTTGCATTTTAACATTTCTTTATTTACTTCAATTTCTAATTACTATTGGCAAATATTTTCAAATTAATTATTTAATTATTATATTGTTTAATTATTAATTATTATTATATTGTTTAATTTAATTATCATTATAATAATTATTTAATTATTATTGTTATATTAATTAATTGATTACTATTATATCAATTTCCCATTAAAAATAGTTACCATATATTCCGGAAAAAATTTTTTCTTCTCTTAGAAAATTTAAAATTCTTTTTCAGCATTAGTAATAAAAGAATCGTTTCATTGGAAGATCTTGTACCATCACCATTAGATATATCGGATGATCCGAAAATACTTTATCCTACAACTTTTCAATCGGTTGCCGAAAGTGGAGAATCGATTGAGAAAACAGAATTGGATGCTCAAACAATTGCTATTTGTCTTGATCGATTACAACATGCTACCATATGAAATTAATTGAATTAATTAGTTATTTAATTATTCGTATATTGTTTTTTTGTTAATTTTCACATTTATTTGTGATTTTCCGGAATTTTTTTTATGTAAATTTACAATAATCATTTATTTATAATAATAAAATTAATTTATTATTAATTAATTTTATTGAAAAAGTATTAAAGTTTACGAAGGATAGTATTTTTGAGAGATTTAGAAGAGTTTAATGCTGAAAAAATAAATCTGATTATATTTTGTGAAGTTATTTTGTTTTATTTTGATAAAATTTTTTTCCTGAAAATATTTTATTAATTAAAATTTAATTGTAAAAGCTTTATTCAAAAATTTGAAAACAAAATAAACGAGATATCAATGATTTCTTTAAAGGAAGAAGGAATCGATACACAAGAAATGATTCAAAGGTAGGACATTGGTAGGTAGTTTAGAATGGATTAGGCTAATAGAGAGATATTATATGCATGTGATAATTTTAAGATATCACGGGAATATCATCAATGAGTTAAACTGTATTAACTATATATTGAAATTATGTATTGATAACTTTACAACAATTGTTGCCGAAAAAATCAAATAAAATAGTTTGTTTTAACTTTAAATAGTTATCGTAGAAATTATTTGAGTTGTTGCAAAACATGTAAGTTTTTGATTTTAAATTTTAAAACTTTCTGTTTAACAGTGAAATACGTATACTGTAGGAGAAAATATCATTATCATTACCATTATCATTATCATATTCATTTTTTAATCTCAATTAAGCAAGTATTACGACCTACATAATAATATAAAATATGCTTGATTAATAATAATTTTCTTGCTTTTCTTTTCTACAATTACAAATTATCGTATTTTCAATTGTTAAGTGATTGAGATGAAAAAGAACATTATTAATGTAAAATGTTAATAAATTTCTATGCAAATAATAATAGTAAAAATAATGACAATAATTAATTGATTAATTAATAATAATAATGAAATAATAATAATAGTAATATAGTAATAATAATAAGTAGAAGAAAAGAGGATGATGAAATCAAATAAAAGTCAAGTTTTCTAACAAAAGAAAATAATAACCATAATTTGCATAGGCCATGAAAAAAACGGTTGAAAAATAAATAAATAAAAAAACGGTTGAAAAATAAATAAAAAAATAAATTATTATTAATTAATCAATTAATTATTGTCATTATTTTTACTATTAAATAAATAAATGAGTTTTAAAATGAGAAATAATTTGCAATAAAATTAAATATCAAATTAAATAGACAATTTAAGGCAGTTTTAAAATGAGAAATACAATATAACGTGTACATAATATACTACGGTGGCAATAAAAATTTCTAAATTATTCTATAGTTTTAAAATTTGTCGATCAATTCTACCATTTACTGATTACAAGCATTTTCATAAAATATCATACGTCAATGATACGGCAAAATGTTTATGATTTAAAATGGATAACAATTATTTTTCAATCGAAATATCCGTCCATCTCCAATATGAGAATAACTGATTCGATACCGTAATGTAATTTAGTAAATCCAATTTTCATCATTTTTAACCAATAATTTGCTTTATTTAAATTACCGGTAACTAAAGCATTATGCCATTGCATTGCCGGATCTAAAATTCCACCAAATAATAAATTTCCATAATCATTATGAATACTATTACTGGTAAAGATTAAATGACGAAATTCAGCTCGTTCCGGATAAATGCCCTGTTCAATGATAAATGCTCGTTCAATATATTGCATCCGGTTATTTAACATTTCCGCTTGTTTGATACTTATCGATTCATGACCCGTATTAACTGACTAAAAAAAATTACTATCTTTATCAATTCAATTATTAATTATATTTTATTATTAAACTTATCTGATGAAATTCAATAATTAATTCCCGAATTCCATTAATTGAGTAATTTAGTTTAATATTATTATTTATTATTCTTTTCTTTTTCATATAGACACTTCGAAATTCAAAAGAAATTTTCCTTTTTTCGTCAAACAATTATCTGTCATATAAAACAATGGAACAAAAATTAAGACAATGAAATTTAATTTCATTTGAAAATGAATTATTTAAGTTAAAAAAATCAACGAAAGCAATTTTTGATAAAAGTAAATCTTCAAATTAAAAATAAAACATTAAAATTACGTAATATTAAATTTAATAATACTTGAGAATTTAATAATACTAATTTAATAATAATTGATATTACTTGAAATTAAATTTAATAATATTTGATTTAATAGTACTTGAGCAATTTCCTGTATTATATTTGCAATAGCCTGAAATCGTGATAATGCTTCACGTAAATTATCCAAAATCATATGATATGTTTTTACTCCAATAGCTTTTGGAATTCCAATATATTCCAATTGTTGATCCATTCGATCGATAAAATCCGATAATACCAAACCATAGTCATGTAAATTAAATGGAATTATCTAAAATTAAAAAAGAAGAAAAAATGTATCTCTTAATTTCCTATAATCTTTTCTTTTATTCTTTATTTTTACCACCTCTTTAATAGTTTGTTATTATTTTATAAAACAATATTCTAGGATGAAAATAATTAATTATCGGCTTACTAAACTATCCGCAATATCTCGTCCAATTTCGAGCCATAATTGTCCTACAGCCATTAATGCGGTATAATTTTGATCAAGAAAATTATCGAATAGCCAAGGAATTTCATACATTGTATGATAAAGCATATAAGTATATAATGGAGCACTTTCAAGTTTCATATCAATTACAGGTATACCCAAATAGGTTAGAAACCGCTACAATTATTTAAAGCAATTAATTTTTTAGAAACAAAACTAATTCTAAAATATATTATATTAATAAATGTTGCAAAAATATTTTATTTAATAAAAGCTTATCTCAAATTTTTTTCGTTGAGATTGATAAAGGCATAAAAATATGCAAGTAGTAATCAAAATAACCTGAAAATCAGATCCAGTTCCAGGTATACCAATACCCGGAATTGATCGATCACCAGTAATCGGTCCTTTCGGATCATAAAATTTCCAAGAATCAAGCAATGTCATCCGTTCTGCCTCTCGTTCTAACATATTCGGACTTCCTACTCTGTTTCAATCAAATTAAAAACATTAGTGAAAAAAAAAAGAATAGAAATTATAATTTAAATTTTTAAATTTAAATAAAATAATCATTTTCGCTAACAATATGTATAATATATAATATTTTAATCACATCGTATTACTAATATAAATATTATATATGATAAGAGTTTTTGTAACTAAATATAATTGCATCTAATTTTTTATTTTTTTGTTATCACTCTACACGTAATATGCTAAGAAGGAAAGAATAGAGGAAAACTTTGAAGTGATTTTTTTGTC